GATCATCTAGTCCAACCCCTCTGCCAGAGCAGGATCACCTAGACTAGGTCACACAGGAACATGTCCAGGCAGGTTTTGAATGTCTCCAGAGAAGGAGACTCCACAACCTCTCTGGGCAGCCTGTTCCAGTGCTCTGCAGCCCTTACAGTAAAAAAGTTTTTCCTTATGTTCAGGTTGAACCTCTTATGCTCCAGCTTTCACCCATTGTCCCTTGTCCTGTCATTGGCTATCACTGAGAAGAGTCTGGCTCCTTCCTCCTGACACTTGCCCTTTACAAATTTATAAACATTAATGAGGTCACCCCTCAGTTTCCTCTTCTCCAAGCTGAAGAGACCCAGCTCCCTCAGCTGCTTCTCATAAGGGAGATGCTCCACTCCCTCAGTCATCTCTCTGGCCCTGCGCTGGACTCTTTCAAGCAATTGTAATTGATGTATACAAAATGCACAGTTGTTTTTTTTTTAATTAAAGAAACTTATTTCATTACGTTGCAGGGAAACAAAGACCTTTATCACAGATACCAGTAAGAAACCTGTTAACTAAATATAAGTCACTCAGACCATGACACTGGATTCTGGAATCCCTTCACCCATAACCTTTTCTCCCTTATCTTTCCCCTTCCCCCACACTAGCTTTCAGTGCAGATTCTCAATGGATTGAAATACACTCATCGTATGAAACCATCCCTCTGCCTCCAGCTTCAAGCTCCCATCACCTGTCTTGAACCAGAACAAATGATCATAGTCTTGCATGTTCAGTCAGATGATCGCACCCATCCAGATGAAACATTAACTTACAGAAGAGTGAAATAAAGGCAAATTTTCAAGTTTTGATTCATCTGCCAACAGGGCTTTACAACTGCTGTTGCTGGCACAAGTGAAGCAGAAGCAAGAGACAACTGAAAAAGGAGGGAGAGATCTGCTTCTTTCATTGACTTAAACCACTTGTGTAGCAAGCTCATGAACCAATGCAGAGGCCTTTTCTAAAGCTCAGAGAATATTCTACCTCTCCCCACGAGTTGGTCCTCCCCCCAGCATGTTCACTGGGGCACGTGGACATTCACTGAGCTTTTTCAGAAATGGAAGTAAAGCAATTCTCTCTCATTCTTGGCCTTGTATTCTTTAGCTGAATAATCCTACATTAGTTCCCATTTTCCATATTAATTACTACAAAATACAGTATTATTTTACATACATAAAAGATCCCATTTGATACATAACAAACTACAATTAAAAAAATAATTATATTAATAACTATCTTTAAAATTTTAAATTAGATATATTCGCACTAATTCTCAGGTGTGTGGAAACAGTAAATTGATATGATGACTGATGCAATTAAACAAAACATACTTTACTTTATGCAGATAGATAATTAAATCCAGACTCCTCCTGTTGGGCTTTCAATTGAAAGGTCAAAGGTGTTTGCAAATTACACAGTAGAGTTCATATAACAATTTTAAACAAATCTTTTATTACCATAGCAAATAAGCAAAAGAAAATTATAAGAATAATATTGGGGGTGACTCTGCTTCAAAGTCTTATGCAATCCTATGTCTTCAAAAGTCAGAAAAGCCTTTGAAGCACATCAGCATGTGAATATAAAAGCTCGTGCTTTGGTTGCACTGCCACTACATAAAACAGATTCATTCAGACACAGAAGACATGCACTTAAGATCAGTGAGGTACAACCATAGGCAAAACTTTACCAAAAAGTAACACATTGAGCTGTACTCACTACTAAAACAGACAAGTGGTGAACACTATTACAGAAATATCAAGGAAAAGTCTCCTTTCTTTTTGAAAATACATTTCAGGACATGCCTAAGATAGATGCAGTATAAAACAGTTTTCCCAGAATTTCACCTCTCTGCTTTTATGGCAATTTCTCCTGTTATGTCCCTCTCTTTCAAGTGAGAAAACATGTTGCTGAAGTGGCTCTGGTTCACATCCTTAATGTTCAATCATTTGAGCTACTGAACACTCATTATTAAAATTAGTGCAAATTAAGCATGTTTTAATGTCATCAATTCAGGATAGCATCACTCGTTATGACAGTACATAAGCATACACTTTTCCGAATTTTGGTCTAATCACAGTACTGATTAGGAATATGTTTAAGCATGTGCTCAAGCAGTAATGGTCAGAATATGTCTTCACATACCGTGATCCCAGCTATCAGTAAATGAGCTTTTATCCAGGTAGGTTTGGAAAATGATTGCAGCATTTAAGTCCAAGTAATTACAGTTTCCATTTCTTGCCTTATTTTTTTTTTGAGTATCACACAGATTTCTTGGAATCAAGTGTTTACATGCAGATTGGAAAGAAAACATATAGGACTAAAATAACATGTGTAACAGTTCACTGCATTCACATTTCTATTTGTGCTCACAGTACTATGGGAAACAAATTATTTCATCAGAAACAAATGAAATACACAGAAAAGTTTGTCATCAGACATAAACAAGTGTATCCATAAGCCAAACAGCCATAACATTCATTAGCTTTAATACTCCATTACATTGTTTCATAGAAATTAGAGATAAAAGACTTCTTATCTATCCCTTGCCAATTCAGGATGTTTTCTCCAATTTAATCACTGGAGGCTGATTGGCAACAGACAACCAGATGAACAGAAAAAGCTCACTAGATGTGCCAGAGGAGAGCAGTCTGTGAAATTTGTATTTCCCCTTGTGAAGTGCCAAGTTCTTTCAAGTTCCTTTTGTTTAAAGGTGAATTAATAAATCTCAGGAGTTCACAAAATCTGGGCCTCATTTAACAAGTAGACTGCTTTTCAAGTGCACACCCAACACACTGCTGCTGAAGACACCTTCATCCCTTCTACAGAGGAATGCGTTTAGTGTGCTGTCAAAAAGCATCAAACTGCACTATGGAATTAAAACTGACACTTTTCCATTGTACTGAACATTTTTTGAAAATGAGACTGTGAAGAAACACATTATAGTAGATCAGTGTTGTTAATGATGCCGCACTTCTATGCTCAGTCTAACAGTCAGAAGTTGGTGCTTTCAGATTGTGATTTCAGGCTTTCAGATTCTCTCAATCACTTTCATATTTCATCAGCTAAATACTGAAATAAAGTTTGCATTAAAATGGGATCTTATCTGTCATACTTTCTTCCAGAATCGCTGTGCATAGTCTTGCTTCTTTATTAAACTTCAGGGCTGAACACTGCAGTAACATTTCACCTGAAATGTGTATTGCATATCATATCTTATTATGTCTGGTACCAACTAGAATATAAAAATACATTAATCTTTTCTGAGAAATTCAGGGGAGGGAGCACATTCAACAGAAATATTGGGAGGGAGGGGTCCTTCATGTATCATATTCTATTATTAGTCATTAATCACATCTTCATCTCCAGTACACCATGCTTACCTACAGCCAAATGCTAATCACATTAATCCTCTTTAAAGATCTGTAAGGTCTTCTGTGTAATTCTGACTTTTACTTAATGCATATCTTAATTTTACAGTGATTTTTGCAAGCTCACTTGAGACCAGTTTATTTTTGAGAAAGGAGGAAAAACTGCACTTTTCCATAATGAAGACAATGGATTCAAAAACAGAAATGAGATTTAAATGCTGCCAGCCAGCATCAATGCAGAGATGTCAGTCCAGAAAGGTTACTGCTGAAGAATTGATACCAAAGTAAACAGACGTTCTGACCACAGAAAGGATGGAGATCTGGTCTTGTGATTTGTGGGGGAAATACATCCCAATTTGGAGAAGAATCTGCAATGCATAAGGATTATTTTTATTTCCCCACCACCACCCCCAGTAGCAGGGCTTTTCCAGTATAAACAAATAAATATCAAGGAGGTAATTACACAGCAATCCATAACACAGGTTCAGTAAATTCATACTATTTGGCTTTATCTTGGTGAGTAGCATATACAGTAACAAGCAGAATCTACAAAATAATACTGTATGCAAAGTGGAGCAGGTCACACACTACACTTAGGGCTGGAGATTTAACACAGTGGCTTTGAATACAATGACTACAGCACTGTCACAGTTTTTCCAAACTCTAATGATACAAATTTGAATGTAGAAGTATGACTTTTTCTCTGACCCTGCGTATGAAACAGACAAAGGAGAGGGGAATGGAGAAGATGTGAAGATTATGCTTAATGGCCAAAATCACAGTTAGTCTACATCAGTCTGGTTTCCATAAAATAAGAAAGCAATAGCAACTAGGTAGAAATTTTTGAAGGTTGTAGCCCTCTTGGACAACTTTGGGGAGCTCAAAACAGTGAAGTAATGGCAGATGGACCACAGACATAAATGTAATCTACATCTGAAAGCCAAAAGCCTGTATCAATGGTCAGGATAAGACAAGCTCAGAATTACCTTTTGAGGTTGGAGCTTTTGTGATATATGCATTTTTTGCTGCTCTTATGTCTTCATTCCATGTAAATCTGAATGTGATTAATTATCACTTAATCACTCTTTTTAACACACTGCAGAAAATAAATGGCTGGTTGAACAATAGAAATGTTCCTTTTCAACTTTTTTAAATTAGGGATTAATAAAATCACCTTATGGATGAAATGGATGAGAATAACTAATCCCATTTTATTAAGGCTTTCTTTGTAAATGTGTTAGAGATGCTACAAAATTCATCTGCATTATCATTTAGGATTAAAATTGGAAGTTTATGTAGAACTGTCCAGTTAAATAACATAGCCTCTTAACTCTATATTTTGTTAGAACTGGACAAAAAAATGTGTGTGTTCAGGCAAGTTAAATCTTAGGGATATTTATTTTTAAGTTTTCTCTTCAAAATACCAATATCATTTCTACAGTTGATCACAAGAGGGAGACTATTATCACCATATTTCCTCTCATTATTTCAAATTTTAAAGCATCCAAACAATTTCAATCATTTTGAACCAGCTCTAATCTTTGACTGCTCACTGAAAAGTGTTAATGACTATTCAATTAGCATTTTTTTCTGAGTTTGTCAAACCTGTGAAATCTATAGATAAAGATAGCCAATCCAGTAAACAAGATTGAACAATGCAAAGGCAGTTGGAAAGAAGATTCGAGAATAGGAGTCAATTTTTGCAATACGGATGTGTATTCTTCCTTCTCTCCAAGATCCTGTGCGGCAGTCTTCAAAACAACAAAAGAAACTAGCACAGTCCTTCCCTTCTAGGCATTCATATCCATAATCATCATCACGTTCAGGGAGATGATTAATGTTATTAATTGAAATTAGTGTTGATCCAGGTCGAACAGCAATTGCAGATGGTTTCTTAAGAAAAATAAGAAAGAAAAATACAGTTTTGTAGGTTTTTTTATCCTCACATTGAATAATTCTATAGACTTCCCATAGCGAAGACCAATATAACCACCTTGACTAAAATATACAGAAATTCTAATATTAAAGAAAGCAGTTTGCAGATCTCTGTGAATTATGAACTGCTGTATATAATTAGCTCATGCAGGCAAAAGATTACGAATGATTTTCACCTGCCACAGTGAAAACTGAGTTGTGCTGGGATTTGGGAATAGTGGATAATTAGTTACACAGACAGGGTTAGCTGATCTCATCTACGCAGCACAAATGAACATTTTGAAGTACATCACAGCTTGACAATGAGGTCACAAGCAAGTCCACAAACAGGCCAGAAGCATCACTACCAAAGGAGTGATGGTTCTCACCTCCTTCGAAGTTTTTAGAACAAGATTGGATGTGTTTCTGGAAACTACATTTTCACCAAATGAATAATAAAAAAAGCTAATGAGGTTAGTACAGCATCACTGGTGAAGTTTAAGAGACTGAGACACCGAAGGCCAGGCTACGTCATCTACTTCTCTGATGTTAAATCCCTAAACAACATGCCCTACCTTTAGAAACCAAAACATAAATCTCCCTAGGAGAATGCCATTCAAGTCAGTGAAACTGATTAATTCAGCTCTTAATTCTTACTTTTACTCTCCGTGGGCATAAATCAACCCTCTTACAATCTGGTAAAAACTCAGTGCAATAGACATTAAGGTTCATAAATAGAAAAAAACTAGGTGCCTTATTGCCTAGTACATAACCGGTTTGCTGTTCCGTTTCTTGTGACTTTTGCCTTTTCACCTTCCTTTTACTTGCACTACCTCAGCTCATCTTTCCCTCTTTTATTATTTTGTTTCCATGCAGTTTTTCACTCTTCTGCCTTGTATTTCTGCATATTTCAAAATACATTCTCTTTCTCTACTTGTGCTTTTTTTCTCTTTCTAAATCTCATAGCATTTTCAAACCGCTCCATAAACCTCTTTCTTTCAATTCCCACCTCATCTTTCGCATCTCTTCTAAAATCTTCAGATTGAAGATACTGGTTACGTCAACACTACTCTTACATTCTCTTCTGTCTTCTCTACCATGTCCATATCTTTTAATAGGAAAGGAATAAACACAACAGAAAAGCATGAAGCCAGAAGAACTAGCTGGGTACTGAACTGTAGAGAAGAATCTCTCTTAAGCAAGATACATGATAGTCAATGAAAAAATATGAAAAACATATGAAAAGTGGGAAGCCACATGAATTAGATTCCTGTTATGTTTTAGAGTCCTTCTGTCCCACTTCCAGGTAATTACTTCGGCCTGTACACAGATCTCTATACATTGTTACGGAGGCACACTCTTACTGCAGGGATATTTTACCCAATGCTCCAAGAGGTGATGATAAAACAGTGTGCAGTATCCACCACATTTTTGAATAGCTTTATTTAATGTGTCTGTACCAGTGGAAGTTTCACACAGACTGCTGTTTCAACACTTTGTGGACCTCATTATTCTTTTCAGTTGTGATAAAATACTGACAATACTAACAAAGAGCAGTTACCCCTTCTACCCTAATTTGAAGCATTTACAAATAGGGCTTATTTTCATAAAACATAAAAAGTAAACTCAATTTTTTTTTAAAGTTACAAAATCACTATTTTGTAGAAGACGTATAATGATGCTTATTTTTGATTCACACCTATTCTGGCTTTACAGGAGTTTTCTGACTGTTGGTTCTGTCAGTGTAAGATCCATGGAATCATTTGTTTCTACTAGTGGGGTAAAACAGGAATCCTCAAATCAGAAACATCATGGAAGGAGGAAAAAATAACAGTACTGCTTTTCAGACTGCACAGACTGAGGCTGGCTACTAAATTACATGTTTGAAGAGGTGGTCAGAGAGGCAAGAAAGACAGCCAGCTTATAGGCCTAACTACCTACAGGGAACACATGAAATATGTGTAAGAAAGAGATGATGTAAGGGAAAAAGGGGAAAAGAACCAACATTTCACAAGAAAATGACCTTATATCAAAGGGCCAGAGACTAAAAAAAAAAATTACATGTAGATTCAGTAATGCATGCTGATTGTTCATCTACGTGCCTACTGATACTGTGGATGAAACTCCATTTATAGTGAGAAGCATTTATAATACACTATAATAGGACCAAAACCAAATTATTCTGCATTAACAGTAATACATGAACAAAAGAAATCCTTCATCTGTGGAGATCATAGCACAGGTGATGCATTCACTTAGGGTGAAATGATGATCAGAACAAGATCCACAGCTAATTAACTTTAATCTTACCTGCCCAAACTCATTATCCTTAGTAATGTGGATTTACATAAGCCAACTCATACTACCTTTCTTGAATTATGCCAGTACATATTTTGTAAGATAAAACTGCTGTAATAATTTGTAAAAATCTCACTGTTATTCACAAGGTCATTTATTGTACCTTATTGGCATCAGTTTCTGGAATACTAAAGCTTTTATTGCATTTTGCAATAGTAATAGAAGAGCTATGAAAGGCAAGTTTTCCATGGGAAAAAAAACCTGTAAATGAGAACTTTTCAGAAGGAATTAAACTGACTATTTTATTAAATTGTTTTTTTGAGTTACATATCTGTAACTACAAGAGAAAACAAATGAATAGAAGTCTTTGACTAAGAAAAACAAGGAAAAAAAAGAAAAATTAAATTTAATTCCTCCCGTTTTTTTAGAGTAATCTCTTATCTAGTATGGTTTCATAGCTGCAGCATGCTGAAACATGTTTTACGAATTCTGTGTGAAATTATGGTTGTTTTTCAACTACTTAGAAATAAAAAACCATGCTTTAAGAACACAGTAAAACACAACTGAACAGTGTCTTGACTATTATATTGCTAATTTTAATCTTAGTCCAAACTCCAGCTATTTATTCAATAAGTGTCACAGTTTCTATCTCACCATTATTCTACATTTTAAATTGTCATATGCACTGAAAATTTCAAAGCATTTAGCAGATTATTGCACAAATGGCTGATGTGTGAACAGACTCTGGAAAGTCTCATTAGTCCATTCAGTAGATTATACTTGCAAACCACTTCAATGGCTTTTGCCAGCAGCTGATCTTTAGAATCTCCCTGGATTGATATTTATAGCAAATATATCAACAGTATTTCCTCACCTCTTCGTTTTCTCCTTGTTATGTGTGCTGAGAGCAGACCTATTTCAGCTCCGCGTTTCTAAGTGTTGTTAAGATCTCATTACAACAACCACCTAAAATGGAGTCTGCTATGCTACCACTGGGAAGTCCCCCAAATTCTGTGGCTTCTGTTCTCTTTTACCCTCACTGCTCAACTGTGGCCCTTGCCAAAGCCTGTTTGCCATCCGTTCCGTTGTGCCCACAGTTACTTCTGCCACTAACCTGGGAGGAGGTTTGAGGTCTCCATTTTCCAGTTCTCTTGGCTGTGCTGGATTCCCTGAGGATCACAGTGATGTCCAACCAAGGCAGCACAGGGCACTATTAACCCTTCACCACCAGCCTTGTCCTAAATACACAGCTGATCCACTCAAACCAGCTCACTATATGAAACGTAAGGGCTCTCATTTCCCCGGAATTAAGTCATAGCAGCTCCGCAGTGCCCCCATGGACAGTCTCCCACAGCAGTGCTGTTCAAAATGGGGACACCAGTGCTTTCCAGAAGTGGTCACTGAAAGGATATGGTCCATAACAGCATTTCTGCATTTTCATATCTGGGTTTCTGTAATTTCATTTCATTTTTTGTTTGATCTTACACAGGTGATATTCGCCTAGAAAAGATAACTGATAATAGGATAACAGGATTCAGCTATGCTCCAGCTTCCTTTGATTAAATGATCTGGAAGGGGGCTTTATAACATTGTCCATCCTTTTATTCTCTCCAAAAGATGACTACAATCAAGTTTCAGATATTAAGACCAGTATTTGAATGAATAAGGTATTTAATGCCTTTACCTCAATGTAATGCCTTTTACCTCAATTAGTTTAAAGATTAACTTTAAATATTTGTACTAACTTCCAACAATAGATTCTTTGGAAGTTCCAATAACTTTTATTGCATGAACAGAAAGCCTCTTAAAATTGATAGGACTTGTTCCTGGGATACATGGGCATTCACACCATACAAACATCAACTTGTAAGAGCAGAAGGTTCATTTTACCAGAAAAGGACATTAAAGTAAATGAAAAAAGAAGAGTAAAAGTAGAATTTCTGAAGTGGAAGGGAGTCAGAATACTGACCAAAAATAAGCACTTTTTCCTTTGCAAAGCCAGCAAGGCAAGACACAAGTTAGGTTATGGAGACCCAAACAAATCCTCCTACCTTCAGTTCATTTACATGATCTTTACTGCTACAGCCTTATCTATGACTCTCTGCCAGGTACTGCTTTCAGAAGCGCTGTGCCCAGACAGACCTCTCTCCATGGGCACACACTTCATGGGCAGCTCTAGAAGCACCAAAGACTTAGGCATGGCATGGGAGCATGGAATATTTTCAAACCACATGAGCTCAGGCTCATGTATTCTCATTCACTTACGAGTGGAATGGTCTAAAAATCATTGTTCATGAGTAGTATTTACAGAAAATGAGTACAAGCCCCCAAAATGTAAAAAAAAGATTATAAAATAAATATTAATGTTAATTATCTTTGAACATTAACCCTTCTACTAAGAACCAGTCTCTCAAAATTAATGCTACATTAAAGAGCATTCTGTATTGTTTTTTTCTTTGTTTGGTTAAACTTACTGATGGCTTAGGTTTTGCCTTCTTTTCTTTTCCTTTGTCCCCTTTTCTGTTGCTGGTAAAGTAATGCAAGGTGCCATATTCCATCAAGGCAGCAAACACAAAGATGAAGCAAACTGAAACAAAAAGGTCCATTGCTGTCACATAGGAAACCTTTGGGAGTGACTTCCTAGCAATTGTACTCAATGTTGTCATAGTCAGCACAGTTGTAATGCCTGTTTGAGAAAGATAAAAAGTAAGGACAGGAAGAGGAGAGTGTATTAGTAATCCAATCATGCTGCCAGAAAAAAAAAATCATTTAATTAGCCCTTAATTTGTTCTTGAGGCTTACAAGAACTGAGCCACAGCAGGGTTCACTGCTGACCACAGCCACATACATTGGTGCTATTGCAAGAAGCCACTCCTATGGATTCAGTGGCCATCATGGGATCATACAGAAAGCAGCACATTTGACCTTCAGTTTAAATCCCTCCCATTCTCAACACACACTGGATAAACAGTGATGCTGAGAAAGTTTGTGCCATTTTATAAACCTGTTATAGAATGCACACAAAACAAATTCAATAGACAAACAGTTACAAATAAGCACACAATTTTTCTAAACACAGAAATCAGTCCTTCGGCTCCTGAAAGATTAAAATGTACAAAAGGACACATTCAGAAAACAAAACAACAACAAAAAAAGGAAAAAAAACCCAACATGTTATTTATGAAGGATTTCAAATTTCAGAAAATACAAGAAGAAGAAATAGTTTTCAGTTGTTTGCTTCTGATGTGTAGCAGGTCAAACTAGACGACCTTCATGGCCTTTCTGGTCCTATTCTAAGTTACTAGGTATATTTTCAATACTGTGTATTAAGTAATAGAAAATGTTTTCCTTGATTCACTCACATACAACTTAATTAAAAGAACAAGCTGGCCTTAGATATGTTCTGAATCTCAACTATACCCCTCTTCAGTGGTTTAACATTTAGAAGGTATTAACACTTTCTTCTTATATTTGATGCTTCAGGGAGATGCAAAGCCTTTTTCATAATAGTCCAGGATTAAGATGTGGCCTTTTCTTGGGAGAGCAATACTTGAATACACAAATAATTTGTTATTTACATGCACAGGCTTATTGCAAAAAATGTGTTACACCAGTCTAAAGCTGTCTGTGGCTTATAAATCAAAGCATTGAGTCAGGGGTTGTTATGGACTTATCTTGCAGCACGAAAGTAGTGGTGATTTTGCAACACGTTTCTCAATGAAATTACATGCCTAAAAGGGCAAACTGAAAACCACAGTTTTTCAAAAATGCTTCACTCCCACTAGATGCTTTTGAAAATCAATTAGGCATTTCTCTACATAATTAAATATCTAAATACCTTTAATAATCTGAAATCTTTTGCTTTGGAAAACCATGACTTGCCAGGATCTTTAAACATATAGGCTACAAAAAGGCCCAAGCCTTTTCAGAGTACTAGACCCCAGCACAGTCTCTGGATGGGAAGTGAAGCCCACCATTCCCCTTATCGATTGGAGGGAGCTGTAAATATGATACTGCGAACATTTGTAGTACATCTCAAGTAGATGAAGGTTAGTACTGCTGAAGTGGGAGCATGAAAACTCTAGCTTAATCATGAGATCAATGGCAAATTTGCTAGGTTTATGGCAGAGAAAAAGCACAAGTAAAGAGAACTGCAAAAAGAACAAACTGGGTGCAGAACTAGAAGGATATCAATATGAGTTTTTCCTATTCTAGCTAGTGTCTTTCCAGACTGTATCCACTATTTTGACCAATGATTAGTCACTCAAATGAATTTTATAATAAATTTCTAACTATCAAGATATAGTGTCATTTATTCAAGATTTTAGGCTCTATTCACTAAACCTTACAGTATTTTTAAATAGCACTATGTTAAGATCCAAGACTTGGATTTTCTTCCCTCATCTTTTCATTAGGCTACTGAGACATGCTTACTTTCTTTCTTGACTCATTAACCTTGTAGGTTTGACTGCACAGCAGTCCACTTTCAGTGGGAAAGGCAGGGAATTAGGACCTGGTCTCACCCTTCTGGTAGGAAACACTTCTATAACATGGGAATGGTTTGTTAACAGTCCTTTAAGCTGATGAGGAAAATTAACTCACATCTCTTACTTCCTAAGATACATTCTCAGCTCTTGATTTTTCCCCAAAAATAGGACATACTGTCATCACCAGTTTTACTAAAAGCATCTGTCACTGGTAAGCTCAAAGTCGCTAGTGTGCATCCTGTGCACTCCAAGCACCCGTCTATCCTGCTTTATGTGAGGACTACAACTCTTCTCCAAGGCAGTGCAAAAACCAAAACCATCAAACATAAGAGGCAGACACAACGTTAAACACGTCAACCAAGATGACACTAACACAGAATTATCTCTGTAACAAAACTTGCAACACAAGTCAGTAAAGACAGGACAGTGAGTCATTTTTTTGTGAGTTATATACTTAACTGCTTGAAGTGTAACTGTGGTTGCAAATTTTCTGTTCTATCCTGGGCTTAAAAGAACAACTGAATCATTTCTATTGTTAAAAATCTATCACCACCACCACCAAAAACTCAACCAAAAAAAAAAACAACCCAAAAACCACCAAAAAATACATCTTCACAGTTTTTGCCTGTGTAGTAATGACATCCTTTGTTCCACGATGCTAACTGAAGTTTGAGCATACTTGTCAGATTAATGATTGCTATATTGCCATCCTTGGAGATGATAAAAAGAACATAAAGGAGAAAAAATATATTTATGTGAACAACAGCATATCTACAAGGCTTGGATCAGGATTTTCAGATTTCCATTCTCAAGGTTCCCTCCTTAAGCCCTGCTGTGCAACCACAGCAGGATCTTCCTACTCTTAATCCTGCAGTTCAAGAGAAAGGGTGAGCAATGGTCACAGTCTGAAGGGGAATAAACTGTGATTAATTTACTCCCTGCTGCAGATTTGTATTCCTGGGGAGTACCATACCCTTCAAGGTTGAAAAATGACTTTCTTACCCAGAGAAGTCCTTGCAGGAACTGCATCCTTATTGATCCAAAATGACACCCATGAAAGAACAACTGTAAGTATACAAGGAATGTATGTCTGAATCGTAAAATATCCCATACGTCTGCTGAGATCAAAGAAGATTGTCATAATAATATAATCACCTATATATTAAAAAAAGAAAAATATACTTACACTGCATTGAAAATGGTTTTCAGTTGTATCTTCATCTATTAGTCTTGTTAAACATAAATATTACATGAAATAAAACTTAACACTTCGCCTTACCAGACAAAGTATGAGAAATTTCAGTTGTATTTCGTAACCCTACAAATGCAAACTGATACAATCTCCAGTATTTCGGATCTGCCACTTCAACAGAAGTTTTCTTCCATTTGTATTCAATTTCATTTCTCGGATATCCATCTAGAATAAAACAGAGCAAATCAAGTCTTCAGTCATAGTATATACTAAAGCATCACAGAATCACACAGAATCACGGAACGTT